GACTCTGAAGTGTTCTCTGAGGTGTTCCTCTTCGAGAGGTATTCCACTTTACAGGTTTTACTGTAGTTTCAAGGTACATGTCTATTTTGATTCGTCAAGGTTTGTTTCTCTTTAAAATATAATATAGAAAAATATGTGGAAAAATAAAAAATTCCTTGACCAGCACAACATATTTCGGAATTGTAAACAGAGAAATGGAGACAGGCCCTGAGATTGAATCTTGTTGGGTCATCATGTGAATGAACCTTTGAATTTAACGCAAAATAAAGAAGAGGAATGAATATAGAAGTACATACAGATTAAAGGAATATTTTCATTAATGGATTAAAACGCGCCACTCGTCGATAGGTGTCGCTGTGACGTCATTACCCTATTATCGCTCACGAACGGTCTAGAACAATGTTAGAAAGAAAATGTAAATAAAACGATCGGAAATGCCATCCTACTGTTGTGTCCCGGGTTGTAACAGCCATATAGGGGGGCACACCTTCCCTAAGTATAAGGGCGACAACGAGAGAAGGTTGGTGTGGATAACAAGGTGTCGGAGAAGCCATCCAAGTGGCAAAATTTGGAGGCCAACTGCAAACGATGTTGTCTGCTACCGGCATTTTTCTGAAGAAGATTACCTTGAAGTTTTAACAGGTCAGTAGACAATCTATTTAGAACTAATGGTCAGTAGACATTTATCAAAATAATCACTTGATCTGAACTGTGCTTCCGTAGAAAGTTGATTGACAGGCTCGTAGGTTAACCTATCCCACCTAAATTACGTCGTCCCCGATAACAAAAATGTAACTAATGTTTACTAAAACCAAACTGGATCACAATTATTAACACAAAAAGACAGAAATACACAAAAAACAACTCGGAAAGGAATCCCCGTCCCGGGATCCTCATCTGTCAATCATATTTGCACTCGGTGACCCTTACCGAGACGTCACAACTTTTGGAATGCAACAAGGCCAAAATATGTGATTATGCGTTTAACATTTTTAATTATCACGATACTGGGTAACAATATTCTTTTGATAGATTTCTATCATATGCTGACTCTTATTATGCGATACTCTTTGCAGCAGTCCAAAAATATCAAAGTTTTGAGATTAAAAAAAATATTTTTTTGGGCAAAAAAATGCATGAAGACGTGAAACATATGAATATTTTTAGATTGGTTTAGCCTGTGTTTGCACATTGAAGTTGAAATGAATGCCATTTGTTTTGAACTCTACATGAATTATTCCTGTTTCATTATGATCGATATCTTGTGTATTTATTTTATCTTGTGTATTTACTTCATGTACATGAATGCAACCAAAGTCGCAGGTGATTGACAAACACGTAGATGTACAATTTTATACTTGTAACATTACCACTGTTATTGAACAAAATATGTATGTTTTACAGGTTCAAGAAGACAACTGCGAAGATCAGCTGTCCCTTCACTTTTCATGCCAGTTCGTTCCACCAGTGGACTCACCCCATCAGGTATTAGACGGGCGGCACGTTCTAACAGAGGAGCAAAGGAGACCGAACCCTTAGAGGCAGAGCCCTTAGACTTAGAGTCTGAGACTGATCCATTAGAAACTAGTGAAACTACTTCAACAGATCTTATAGAAGAGGATTTAGTTTCTATTGACATTGGCATTGATGTGCAAGAAGTGGAAGTACAACTTGAAATAGAACAAACACCTAATACGTTGATTGAAGAATCACCAACCCAGTCTCAGGAACCTACATTAAAACAAGATGAGGAAGTCCAATGCAACCTCATTGGTGACAGTGATCCCTCTTATAGGCCCCCACTCACCATTGAAATGCTGAAGAAGAATCCAAAACGTATACATTACCTCACATCATTTAACAGTTATTCTCATTTTAAACTTTTCTTCGATTGCCTTGGACCTGCTGTTTATGAACTTGAACAAAAAACCAAAGTAATGTGTGAGATGGATCAGTTACTTCTGACACTTATGAAGCTACGGCTTTGTATTGATGATGAACTTCTAGCAATGGAATTTAACGTTAGTGCCACAACAGTCCATAAGATAACCAACCAATGGATATCATTTATGTGGTTTCAATTAAACGAAATAAAGTGGTGGCCGAGTGCGGAAGTGATCGCCCAACATATTCCCAAAAGTTTTGGTGAACAATTCCCTAATACTAGGGCCATACTGGATGCTACGGAAACTCCAATCGCTAAGCCATCAAATGTAATTGAACAATGTGCAACTTTCAGTACTTACAAAAACAAGAACACTCTCAAAACTATGATTGGTTGCACTCCAAGGGGGATTGTTTCTTATATCAGCGATGCCTATGGTGGGTCTACAAGTGATAGACAAATAATTGAACGGTCGAAACTTTTGTCCGATCAGTCAATGCTAGAGAAAGGGGACACATTGATGGCAGATAGGGGGATTATGGTGCAGGACCTTTTTGCATCTAAAGGCGTTCAGGTGAACACTCCAACTATGTTGAGAGGTAAGACCCAACTTGATCCATCTGAGGTGTTACATGACCGTAGAGTCTCATCCAAGCGTATCCATGTGGAAAGAGTAATTGGGCTTGGAAAACATATGAAAATTTTGAAACATGAACTTCACCCTGGAAAGAGAGACATGGGATCCAGAATTGTCAATGTATGCTTCCTAATTAGCAACTTCAGAGACTCCATAGTAAACAAATTGGCATGAAATCTTTGATATATTATCACGATTCATTGGGCAATAATAACATTATTTAAGTAAGATTTTTATGTATTGGAACTTAGAACATTAGCTTAAAAGAAGAATTAATAGAAATTCGACTGTCTACAGGGTGTCAAATAAATATGTTTCCCCCTCAACTTTAACATCCACATAATGATTCATAACTTTTTTATCTTCATAATATCTGAATTTTTGTTTTGCACATTAAAACAAGCCTTCATCTTCATGGTGCAATCCTACATGAAGTTTCAAATGACTGATTCAATCAAATGCACTTTTATGCACAAAAGTTCAAACTCTTGAGATTTAAGGACAAGAATGAAAATAATATGTAATATGTAGTTTCATTCAAAAATGTATTCTTAATGATCATTCTTAGATGTAACTAGTAATAGTATATATATATTAGTGAAATTAATTTACTGTAAGTGTAATGGAATGTTACAACTTTCTCATCTCTCAATTAAGCCTAGTTTAAAAATGTATTAATACATACTGCAGATAGTCACATATATTATAGAAATGTATAGGCCTATAAATCAATTGATTTTTGAATATTGATTTTGTACAATATGTGCTTTTTGTAAATATTACACAATTACTTCATACTGTCATATTATACTTCTACTTAATCTGGCGGATCCGCCAAATTGTGAAAGTCTGCCTAATAAAGTAGCTGCAAAATTATCTGGTAATTTACGAATTAGCACCACTACCATTGGAATTGTACATTGTAATATTGCAAGTTTGCCTTTAATAAGTAGCCACTAAATGTACAAAACAGCAAATCTGCCAAATTAATTAGAAGTACAGTCATCATATCAAATCCCATAAATGGAATTACATGTAGTACATGAATAACATAATTAGCAATAGCACCCGAGGAAGGATGAGGAAAATTATGCCAATTCATCAGAGTATATGTTCAATGTTCAACTACATACAATGTTCTGCAATATATGGGCGCAAGTACTTTTCATAGCATAGCTCAAGTTTTGGAATAAGAGCTAGCTCACAATACTCTTGATCATATTCAATTGCCTGATGGAAGAAATCATTGAACACATACACAATGAAGTGGTATAATTTCCTGCCAGTGACATACATTTGACCTTGAACTTGGTCATAATACCCACTTGTTTTTTTCAAAGAGAGTTTCCCATCCTTCCTTTCGAGCCAAGGGAAATTAATATCATCAGTAATAAAGCTATCCTTGCCTTTAAAAGGACACTTTACTTCACAGATAGCATTTTCCCCTACAAATCCATCAGGGGATGCAGCCAGAAAAGGTTTCTCCAAGTGAATTACTAATCCACTGGGTTCAACCCTTTTCCCTGTTATCTCCTCAAACTTAATCTTAGCAAAGCCTTCAAAAGCAACACCGTGGGAAGTTGCACTTGATTTAAATGCCTTTGGACTAACTATGGAAGCACATAACTTGTCTTTGTCCCTTTTATCTGTCATTTTGTTAATCTCTCCAAATCTGCTAGCTGTAAGGCGCCACCTCCGCTGCTCATGCCATTCAGTGGATTCATTTTGCTTCCTAGTTCTCTTCTCAATGGCAGCAATGTCCTCGGCAGTCACCTGGAAACAAAAATAATAAAGGTGTTACAAAAATTGCATGTAAGATAATTTTGTTGGCCCTTTAGTATAAATCTATTATATAGACTTATTGAGAGATTTTGACATATTTATTTCTGTCAAAATCTATCAATAAGTCTATATTGATAGATTTATACTAAATGACCCACACAAGTAATATTATCTAATGATAATATTGTTTTAATGGGTTTGAAATTACATAATATGTACATTCAAATTCAAATGAAAAATTGTATTATAGTATTCTTCAATATTGAAGGCTAAATCAAGGATACTGTATTATAGACCTGATCTTAAACTATAAGTTATTAACTAGACAATGTTTTCAAATATAGTTAATGGCTAGAACCTTTAAAGGAACTTTGAGGAACTAGAAAAAACCCTAGATTTGACCTAGATTTTGACCTTTGACATTGGCCTAAAAAAATAGAATAAGAAAAAAAGCTAAGAAAGCTATAGGAGGCCTCTCCCAACATGTCCAATGGGGCTACTAAAAGTATGGAATTAGTTGCGTTGTTACCTTTATAGCTGAATCAACCCAGTGTTCTGTATATTTCCTGGATAGGTAATCATGGTCATTGGTAGCTTGCTTAATATCAGCTTTAGGGTAAATGTATCTCATAGAGAGGTCCTCACTAGTAGATGCGCAATAATTTATAATGGTGTTCCTGACAAAATCATTGTAGCCATCTCGATTTCTGAACTTCAAGGGACGTGGATCTTTTAACACATCCTTGCGCTTTCGAGCACCCATTGATTCAGCCTTCATAGGAGAACCTAGAATTAGAAACAAATCAAAATTATGTAATAATGCACATGGATCAAGGTAAATGTAATTAGTTCACTGCTAAATAGGTGATCAATAAAGTAACATGTGTGCTGTTGTGCTAAAAATGTATAAAGTATTAAGACTTTTATCAACTTCATAAATTTGGGTTATGGTATATACATACATGTAAGTTATGCACCAGGAGGGAGATGATGTGGGGAACATCACAGGGATGTTATTAATATTTCATGAGGGAACACAGAGGGAGTATTGATATCATCTGAGGGACATTCCTCATATCATCCTGGTCATCTCGAGAGGTGACCATAGCAACCTTAAACCATGGTCAAGACCAATACTGTATCTACCTAAAATCCCCTTTTGAATGAGAGAAAAAATGATTGAATCTTAGAAATATTAACATGACATATTATATGTGCTTCAAAAAATTGAAAAACTAAAATTATTTTTGTACCAGAAAACTTTTTGAAAAACAGAAATGTTGGGGCAAAACATTAAATGTTTGAAAATGAAGTTTTTGGAAAAAATTAAAAAATTGAGAAATGAAAACTTTTGAAAAAATTGCTTTTAAATACAGTATTCACAGGGTTGATATTACTCTGACCATGGTATAAATATATATAATATATACCCAAGTTTAAACAATGTGTTTTTGATATATGTAAATATGTAATAAAAAATATTTAATTTCAATTAAGAGTCTCTTGTGCATTTGTTGTAAGAATGGTAAATTCTTTACCTGAATGACCCTTCTTGGGTTTGTGAAATGTCTGAAGCTTTTCAGTGCAGCTCAGGGTCACACTGGCCTTCCCAGTGGCCACGAAGTCCACCAGCATATAGAGTACTGCTGCCACATGCTTACAAGTTCCGTGGGGTCCTTTCCCAGCGGGGCATTCACAGTTGCTATTAAGGATCACACCTGTAGTTCTAGAAAGTCTGATTTGGAAGTTGTAGGATACCTAAAATGAAAATCAGTAATGTTCACCATGGGCTTTCAGATAGAGTACCAAAAGTTATATTAAAAAATTATAAACTTTTGCCATCAGTGTTTAAATTCATTATACTAAAATAACGCTGGGCTACGGGCTATACATGTATGTCAGGTGGAGTGAAGTTGCAAATGGAGGATGTTTGTTTATTTCCATATTTCTAAAGATACATGTATATGTGCACTAGGTTTACCAAGTTCTACTATACATTATACAGGTTCATCGAGCAGTTTGCATGGCATTACATGTACAATGTACATTACATGTACATTTGTATATTATAACCAGAAAACCCCTATAAACAAATATAGACCTCCATTTGCAACCTCACTGTACATAGCCTCTACATGTATTCCTTTGAAAGAAATAGCCTACAAGCTACAGTATGGGGAGGAAGGGTAGTGTGAAAATATCAAGTTTATACTAAAGGCCTATACCTTCTTCTTCATTGCTGCATTGGTCAGCCCAGAAAAGAAAACAAATGCCTCATCCTCAACATTTACACTGCACGCAGATATGAAGCTGCTCTTAAGTAGGGCTCTGCCCTTTTTTAGCGACGCAGCATCACTGACATCCATATTGTCTGTTGAGAGCCGGGATATGAAGTACGCCTTGATGATATCATTGGTGATGTTTGGCAGCTGACTCTTGTGCTGTGACGAGAGCGATTTGAACCCAGATTCAGGCCATTTCTCAATGGGGATAGTATCTTCCATGATGACAGCTGGAGCCCTAAAGTTTTCATTCTGGTCATAATATTCCAATCTAAAAATATAATAAAAATATTTGAAGGTACATTTGAGTAGAAACAAATAAAATGTGCAGTATGTGCAGTTTTTCCACGCCATTGACTGTGGGGTAGGTAAATCCCCGGTAACTCTCATGAGGAAAGAAATGAGGCGTACAGGTAGGGCCATTTTTCATCATAACCATCCCCTGTGGAGTAGAATATGCTCTTGGAGCACATGTACTAGGTTTAGATATTAGTTTATGAAATATAGGAGTAAATAAGAACATACCTTTTTAGCGTTTACATAGTCTAGGAGTTAAAGACAAATTGGCCTAAATCTGTAAATTCTCCAAAAATATTCATGAAATAAGCCGTCTCGGCAAATAGGAGACATATTTAAGCATAATTTCATAATAATTGAAATCATACCTTTGTATTAGTACTTCCTTTCGGCCTTGTGTCCGAGCACCGCGTTTTTGTAATTCTAATTTAAGCTTATTCAGCGAAAATTTGCCATAGTTGTTCATTTTCACAGTAATTGTTTAGCGTATCCAAGAGACCGTTCGTGGGCGATAATAGGGTAATACGCCATCTATCGGCAAAATATGACGTTTTAATCCATTAGTTCATTTCTCTGAGTCATAAAATTGCCAGAAAGTCTATTAGTACATATTAAATGTAGGAAAGAAATCTGTTAGAGCAAAAATAATATACATAAGGAGGGGTTGAATTCGTGCAATATGCCTGAAACTAGTAGTTTGATAGTATTGGTGAAGCCATTAATTAACGTATCTATCTATCCATGTTTTTGTTATGGGTTAGGATGCCTTACTCTTTGGTATTCTTGTAAAATCTTTAGCTTTTATCGGTACAGCACTCTGATCTGAGTTGATTTTAAAAATGTGGAGGTAAAATGGGCTTATATAAAAGTAAACCTGAGATCAAAATGTGGTTTTCAAAAAGCATTATGCGCCAAATGTGTTACTTGGATTGAGTGGTAACGAGACATACTATTTCTGTGTATTAAATCGGATCAGTGTCTACCCACTCTAAAAAAAAATTAAAATCAGAATGACCGTGTCTTGCACTATTAATAGACTTCATTACATACATTCTTTTGTATAAATATCAGAGCTTGAAAAAATAACTTACATTATAAGTGAATTAATTAGAACTTGTCAGAGGTGCTTGCACATTTTATAAGTCGCACAGGTCAGTGTGCTTACTAGGCAAACAATTTTCTTATTAGGGAAGTTGGTTTTTCATGCCTTGGTATTTTCAAGAAAGAAACTTTGTATGAAAGTCTGTACATGGCGCATATTGCAGGTTGTTGCATTTTTTTTTAAATTTGAGGTATTTTCCATCTGACATTCATCACATTTTTCTATATCACTAAAACATACATTACTTCGTGGCTCAGAAGAATTGAAAAGTCATGATTTATCGTGATGGGTATTTTAGACACAGTGTTTTTAAAATTCATGTGGTAGATATTTTATTCTTGTATAAAATCCCTGTGATACTTATTCTCTCCTCCCAGACTCTTGTTGAAGTACTAGTTTACAAAGGATGTTAATAACCAGTGATTTGATGGAGAGTAATGAATCTTAACACAATTGTAATAATCATTATCATTAATTTGAATGATGTCATTTCTAAATGCAGAAGAACATTATTGCTCCCACTGGTGTAGTTGGCAGTCTAACACACAGCTTCAACAATTTCCCAACTAGAGGAAGACTCCTCTATTTATTAAGATAACTTAATTGCCTAATTGGTTATGCAATCCTTGGGGCAATCTGCTATACTGTTACGTGCACATGCACAACCCCTCTTTGCCAATGCAAGAGAGTGTTTTTTAGAGAAATCACAATAACAGTCGTCCACAGGTCGAATTTCTGTTTTTTAGAAATTATATTTATTCTGTTTTATAGAGAGATCACAATAGCAATCGTCCACAGGTCGAATTTCTGTTTTTTAGAAATTATATTTATTCTGTTTTATAGAGAGATCACAATACCAATTGTCCATAGGTCGAATTTCTGTTTTTTTAGAAATTATATATATTCAATAAGTGGAGTAAGTACCACCTTGGGACTTTGTTTATCATCAAGAGCGAGTTCAGATTTTTATGGATTTTACAGACTTTCATATTACATGGGAATACCTGATTTTGACAGCTCTTTTAAGCATGCTTGCAAATATTTCTGTCATTCAACATGTTTCAAAGCTTGTTTGTATTTCAATTTTGTTCAATAATATAGACCAATATCACATATTTATATAAATTTTATCCCTCTGTGGTTTCGTTCCAGTACAAAAGCATGTACTATTTTTTTCTTTTGTTAATTTTTGAAGAAACTGTGTAATATAGCTGTTCATAAAGCATTTTGTTAAAAGTACAAATCAGAATGTTCACCTATGGTTAATAGAAAATGTTAGCAAGAATCAAGGAGAGGATTAATTAATAACACAAAATAATAATGTTTGTTATTGCTTACTAATTACTTACATATTGGATATAGGATAGAAAACTGTTAGAAACAGCATATTATAATTTTGGGGAAGGTTGAATTCAAGATTATGGTGTTATTACAGTATATAGAGAAGTGTTAAAGCACTCTTTTCATCGCTGACTTCGTAGACATGGAATATGCCTTTCAATACCCCAGTGAGTATACTATCTGCTTGAGACAAGAACAGATAGAAGTTTGTTTAATAAGGAAATTGATTTACCAAGTGTTTTTATGGAACAGGGTTATGATCCCTTTAGCACGAAAATATGGAACTAATTTAATCGCTTTTATTTGTGAACACTATTTCTTCATTGATTAATCTTCCTACATTAGCACAAGTTAATGCCCGTCCTCGTGAAAATGAATTTTATTATTTTTTCCATGCAAAAAATAGTCCTGCAAAAATCCATATGTTAGAAAAACATTAACAGCATGGCACTTCTAGGGTCTTGTATCCGCTTTTATTTTTCATTTTTGACTCAATTCATCAGAGAAATGTCGAAACAGAAAATCTATATTTGAAACAATCTGTATTACAGATATGAGTCGATGTGGTTACTTTTCAAGCCTGGGGCGATATAAAAACCATGTCTAATTATCCAAAGACAATAGAACATTTGAAATAGAAAGGGTTAGTAATACGTTGAATTGTGATATGTCTAATGATAATGGGCATAATAAATTATAGTCAATGATCAAATTCATTTTCTACAATTGTATAACCATGGCGTATTGAGAGGTACTTGCCAATGTAAACAAAAAAGGAAATGATGCATAATTCATGGGAAAGATTTGAAAAAATTAATCATCAAATTGTGTATAAGGTATAGTTTTGCACTCCTTGGAAATGAATGCATTATTGTAAAGTATTTGAAAGAAATGGGTTCATGCATAGCACATAGTTCTAATAAGCGCATATGCAACTTTTATGATGAATATGGTCTCAAGAAAACAAGAAGTTTAATGCATTAGTTTCGATTATTTACATAACAAGATATCGATTGATGATTGTATTTAATGCAGAGAAAGAAATACAGGAGCTGTAGAGTATGTAATTTAGTGATAGTGTAGTGTAGTTATAACCACTAAAAAGATTATTGACAATATTTTTTTCTAAATTTGTTGTATGTGCGCTTCTTGGAATCTCTCAATATCTTACCCTTTTAAACTTTAATTTGGAAACTTCTCTATGCACCCATTAGATTGAATATGGTATCTTTAGTTAAGAAATATTTATTAAACTACAAAGTATATTTGCTTATTCAATAAACTTCAATGAAGTACCTGCACATAGATTATCTTTTAGAATGTATACTAAGTGGTTCGATTCTTGCGCAGTTCTATTAATTTGAAACAAAAATTAGAGAGAAGGATAAATTGATAGAAGTAATCCTCAAAAGATATACATCACAACATTTCCCTTACAATCCTTATTGAATATTTGAAAAAAAGATTTGAGGTTCTGATCAAATATAAATTTTAAAGTTATTGAAGATTTAAGAATCAGAAATGCCCAAATTCATTAAAATTAAAAAGGGGGACATCTACATATTTCTAAAAATCATTTATGAATGGATTATCATATTTTCATATTTGTGGCAAACTTTTAACCTCCATGGGATGTTTATAAATAAATGTGAAATAAATGTCTTCCCTTTGATATCTACTTGACTGGATGCAAACTTATTTATTAATACATGTACTATATAAATACTGATTTATCCAAATTCTGAAAAATGTTCCTGGATTTTTTGTTCAAGGGTTTTCCAAATTCTCAACTAACCTCTTCTGAATTTGTGTACAAGTACTACTGCATATGTCCTTGTAAGTACTATTACTTGTCAAATTAGCCTAATTTGTAAACTTTGCTAATCTCAGCTGGTACAGAGTAGAGAAAAATACAATTATACTGTCATCAAAATGCTCTTTTTTATTTATCACTATAATTACAATGATTGGTTGAAGCAAGATTAGATTTTCACATCAAAGTTATCCCGGGTGATTTAACATAACTATTATATTGTAATACCCTAACTATAATTATTGTATATACTGACTATGATTTTTGTATACACTAATTATTGTATACTCTGCCTATTATTGTCCTTGATTTCCTTTCTCATCTTGAAAATCAATATTTTGATAAAAAAGTTAAAAAATGTTTGATTACTAAGGGAAGATGTCAATATATTGATGTACCATTTAGTAAAGAACATTTATGGGGAGTGGGGAGGGGGTAGAGCCCCATGTGTTATCATTATGTTAGTCCATCATTAACTTAAATCAAGGTGAGCAACTCTTAGCTTGAACAAATCAATAAAAGTTCACTTACATTTTGGAAGAGAGGGGGGGTCAGAAGTAGTGACATTGTTACAGTCTTCAACTTTTTTTGTGGAACTATTTTGTGGGTGGTGTTTGGCGGACAGTGTTTGACATTTGGTGGTCAGCATTCGGCATATGTAACAAATGGCAGGTTGTGACATTTTGTATGTTAATTACGTGTTATAATATAGGACAAATTGAGAGATTGACCTGGTCCCTACTTCAGAATAATCAATATTTCACTGGAAGAACCAAGATTGAAATGTTTTTAATTGTCTTTTGATATTAATGATACAACACAATCTGATACTGATATACTATCAAAGGTAATAGATCTGTTATTTTGGACTTATCTTTTGATATTAGATTCCTGTATACCTTCTAGACAAATACAGTTCAGGGCACAAATTCAGCCAATTTCTTGTTCGTCTTTATAGGCTAGTGAACAATGATCATCTTTTCTTGAGTCTCTGCACTAGACTGCATAGGGTTGTTTAAATTCCCTGCATTTGTTAAATACAAAAACAATGAATTTTATGTAATAGGCGGCTTACATCTGTCCCTTGTATAACCCCCACCCTCCTCCTTTTGATTACAATTATACGTTCTTGTTTCAAACTGTTTAGAAATAGGAAGGGGAGATAATGACAAAGCTTATGATAGAATGAAAAAATTACATAGGAGTTCGTAGGAATTATACTGGTATAGGACAAAGTTTGACGGAAAGATTGTCAAGTGAACACTAAGCAGATGTTACTTGCTAGTGTTTTTTCAGGGCTAATCTAAACATTATTTAAATCAGTAGTGTTATCATATAGAATTCAAATTGATAATTAAAGGTGGAATAATAGATGAGTAAATGAGGTGAAAATATGATACAATGGATATTCTCATTAATCAATTGAAGGCAATGTGTTTCCCACATTTTAGAGTATAATACTTGAAGCAGATGCATGTACTAGTATACATTAGTACAATCTGTGCAATCGTGAAAAACCTTACGTGAAAATGATGTTTAATTTGAAAAAAGTACTGAGGAAATAAATGTTTACCCAAATAAAGTAGGATTATTCGTAGATAAAATCATTGGACATTCCCACAATTATTTTCTGTAACACAAAATAATAATGATTTCAAAACTTTTGAATGCTTTCATACAGGCTTTCGTCTGATGTATAACACATGTCCTAGAATATCAACTGATTCTCAATGAAGCATGAAAATGGATGTTAAATAAGATATAGCTTTTCTGATGAACAATGCAATTATACAAGGGTTAATGAACATGACCATCAAATTTTTTTCTCCACAATACATGCATTTTTATTTGTCATGTAGAAGTCATAATATTATTTCTGATTTGTTTTAACTATATATGTGCACTCAATGGGCACTCAATCAATTCAGTTTTTTTACATAGAAAAGTGCAAACATATGTCGGAGACATACCTTTTGTATATTTTGGATTGTTTGTGGTTTACGTAATGTGTGGCCTCTTGTGAATTGATGGTTTTCTGTCATGTTGATTCAGGATCATGACCTCTAAATTAGCATTGGTGAAATTCCCCAAATTACATGAGGTCACAGGTTTTCTGCACATTATGCAGACTACCTGAAATAAACAAGTTAGGCCTCTGAATTTGTTTGTGTTTTTCATTTGAAATTTCATTATTATCTATTGTAATTTGTCAGATATGATTCAAGATGACCCACATTTGGACCATAACCAAAAGGCTTAGTTTCATCAATGGAATATACATGTAGAAACATGATTTTTATGGAACTTAAAAAATATTATGACTATGTATGATACATAGTTGTAGCCAGGGGGTGTGATGGGTGCGATTTGCACCCCCCCCCCATAACCAATAAAAAATATAACCATGAGATAGAATAAGAAAAGAGCTTTAAAATGCTTTTTATGTGAAGAAAGTTGCATCAATTTTTGTAAAATTTAAGATAAACCTTAATTTTTTGGCTTGTTTACGCCACAATCGCACCCCCCCCCTGACTGAAAACTGATCGCACCTCCCCTGACTGAAAGCTGGCTACGCCCCTGTGATTTGATCCAGAAAGTAGTAATGAATCAAAAACATTAATGATAAATCTTGAAAAACATGCTTTCTGTCTAATTCTCATTTAATTGTTTTCAAAATATTTATTTTAATTTAAAATCCTGTTTTATTTAGCTCTTGATTTATGGATTTGATATGATGAAATTAGTAGATGCGGCATATGGCTAGATATGATATTGTTTTAATATGGAGTGATTTATTGCTATTATAGTACAGAGACTATAGGAATAAGCAATATCAATATATTGCTCTTCTGTTGTTGATGGCCTGTATTGTGTTTTAGATGAAACATTGAGAAAATCATTAAGAAAATATTTATATTTTGAGGACAGTGTCTGAAATCTGAAATCATTAATGCTTTGAATCCTGTTTTAGGCCTGGTATCACCCTCTATTTCACCAATATTCTTCCTCAAAGGAAATGGTGTAAGGCCATTTGCAACTTTGAAAATGTATAATATATATACCATATTCTCTTATGAGTGCACAGTGTGGTTTCTAAATTTAAAAGGTTATAAGATATTGAAAGATTCTAATAAGCGCACATAATTTTGAAAAAAATATTGCAGAAAATCTTTGTAGTTGTTATCACTAAGGTTTACATACTCTACAGCTCCTGTATTTCTTCCTCTGCATTTAATATAATCAGCAATCCATATCTTGTGATGTAAATAATGAAAACCAAAGCATTAAACTTTGTGTTTTCTTGAGACCATATTAAACATAACTTCAGTATAAGCTAAATGTAAATTACATTGGGCCAATGAAATATAGCTGAAGTTAATGTGCAAGTGGACTTAAAAGAGCCATCTCAGAATTTTTCGTATCAGTCCTAGTGTGGCTTTTTGCTGTAATTGTCATTTACAAAAATTATAAAAATCTGCATAACTAATCTCAATAAAATAATTTGTATGGATGTTTTAAAATATATTCTTTTTAGCAGTAGAAGAAGAATCTTAAAAAGCTGCATTATTTGATAAAACCTCACAGATCTTTATGGCAATTTATATTTTTATTACATAGGGAATGCTTTTATTTATAGTAAAATTAAATGGAATACCTTTGGTACCTCTAAAAAGTATTTCACTTCAGGAAGTGTTCTACTTATAGAGGTTCACTTCATATTAAGTCAGTTGGCCTGGGAACTCTGAAAAACATTCTACTAACAGAGCTGTTCCACTTTTAGAGCTGTTCCACTTCTGGAGGTGTTCCACTTTACAGGTTTCACTGTATGTTTTGTTTCAGACACAACAATATTTCCCAACAATAGAACTTCTTCTGAATTGATATGATATTTTAATCCCACTTCCATCCCATATCACCATCCGATCATTTGTTCCCTGAAAACACCTGAGCAATAGGTTCATTAACAGATTGGCTTGATAAATATGCAATAACAGATATAGATACTCTATTTATGGTAGTCATCTTGCTTGTTGATAAATATATGAATGCCAAATGAGATGCTAAATTAATATACATGGTGAGACAAAAAATGCCACCCACTTCATGTTTGATAACTTTTTGTCTACATGATATCTGAATTGTTCATTAAAACTTAGGCTCCATGGAGCAGCTGCATGAGAAGTTTCAGCTGACTAGCTCAACTTGATATACTTTAACGAGCGTTATGGGATTTGCTCTAAATCTCCCGACCTGTTTTCTTTTGGGTCAACCTGAACTGTTGTATTGTTCATATGAATATCATTGCATTGACAGTCATATTGATATGGATAGAATACACATGTTTATGAATTTATGTGTATTTTCTATACAAATACATATAAATATATGGATAGAATACACATGCTTATGAATTTATGTATATTTTCTATACAAATACATATCAATACTTGATTTACTTCAGAACACTGTGACAAATGCTGAGAAGTTGCTGAGCGCTGCAGAAGAGCTATCAACAACTGGAGAGTGCGACCCTGAAGAGATACAGAAAGAGTCGCAACAAATAGAGAGTAGGATGCAGCAGTTCCTAACCCGCATAGAACACAGGAGGAACACATTGGATATGGCTGTAGCATTCTATACACATACCAGAGAGGTAAGAATAATGCAGTTAACAATTTTCCCTTATTACAACAGTTCATCCATTTTTGGAACCAGTTGTTCAGCATCCTCCGATCACAGGGCTTCAAAATCCAGAACACTTCTTTCTTTTTACCCCCTGTGATAAGCAGTTAGCATTTCCCCGATTAAGAACTCTTAATTTGATTCTCTGTGGCAAAATTGCAATAGCAATCATGTGAACATCATCGGCGTATATTCACAATTTGATTCGCTGTCGCAACACTGCAACAGCAACCATGTATACATCATCGGCGTATAATTAGATCACGTGATTCAGTTTTATCGGGCGCTTCCAAATTGGTTATAGCAGGGGGAAAGAAGGAGGTACGGATTCTGGATACCTGCTTAGTAGGATGGTTGTTAAGGGACAGAAGAGTTGTTGGTTGAATGTGGTGTGGTATTGTAAATCTCAGACAATAACTAGGGGTGGAGTCTTTTTCTCACAATAGCATTCTTATGATATAATGAGTACAAACATTCACTTTAAATGACCCATCTGGGATTGCCATGATTTTATTGACCTGGATTCTGGTAGTCTAATATGAAGTCTGCCTCTATTCACATTTTTAAGGAAAAGAGAGTGAGTTGTGAACTAAATGAACTTGATTTGAAACTACTTTCTTATACTAGCATGATTAGCAATTGAGCAATTTATTTATTTAGGGTTTCGTTGTACTATTATTACTTTGAAGTATCATTTTTGAATCAAAAAGCATTTTTTAAGTTTCTAAGTGACATCATCTCATATTGTCTGAAAATTACCTATATAAGTGATCAAATTCTTTAGTGAACAAGAGCAAGACTTTGAAAATTTACATATTTTACCCAATTATTTTTAGTTATTTGAGTGGTATGCAGAGTTGAAGCGTGAACTTCGTAGCATTGAAATGGCTGAAACAGTGGAAGGTGCAGAGGAGTTGATTGATCAGTTCAACCAACAGAAAGAAGCCACTATTGAAGCTGCAGTGAATACAGAAAATGAGGGGAATGCCTGTCTTGAACACATTGCTTTGCAAGCCTCCCATGACGATGGAGACTACTCACATATTAAAGGTATGCATTTTACATTTTCACATTTTTTGGAGACTTCAGAGTTTGAGGTATGAATTTTACATTTTCACATTTTTAGAGACTTCACATATTAAAGGTATGCATTTCACATTTTCACATTTTTGGAGACTTCAGAGTTTGAGGTATGCTTTTCGCCTTTTTATGTCCCCACCACATAGTGTGGGGCCATATTGTCGGCCTAGGCGCGTCCGTCTGTCTGTCCGTCTGTCTGTCTGTCTGTCTGTCCGTCTGTCCGTCCGTCCGTACGTCCGGCAGTTTTCTCCAAAACCGCTACAGATATCACCTTCAAATTTTCAGGGATAACTTATGAGTGCATACAGATGTGGATGAAAAAAAATTTACTCGATACCTACTTCCTGTCGGCCATTTTGAACTCAAATGCTAAAATCCTTGTCTGCAAACTTTAAGAAAAACGGCTTCACAGTTGCTTTTAAAACTTTAACATCTTGTTCAGCTCACTTCATTCTAGATCTGATTAGGTTTTGGACCTGTTAGCTCAGTCATGTCAGCCATTTTTAATGTTTTAAGAAAAGTTAGCGCACGATAATACTTTGTATCATATTGAATGGTGTTTTTCAGTTTTCATACTTTAACTTTTTAGTAGCTTTATAAATAATTTCAGGTGTACTTTGTTGTAAAAGCTTATGTTATTGTTAACAGTAGTTATATGTGATAATTTTGTAAAAAGATTTCAGCAAAAACTCATAATCACTTTTTTATTGTCGGCCATTTTGGATTTTTCTGTCCTAAAATCTTGTCTGTAAAGTCTTGTCTTTTTCAGGGATGATTCTTAGTATGAGAATCTAGATCTGATTAGTTTTTGGGCATTCTGGGTAAATGTCAAGGCAGCCATTTTGGATTTTCCGTCTTAAAATCTTGTCTGTAAAGTCTTGTCTACGCATTTTCAGGTGAACCGTTTGGTAGATCAATTTCAAATTTTCAGGGATGATTCTCAGTATGAAAATCTAGATCTGATTATTTTTACGGCATTCTGGATAAATGTCAAGGCAGCCATTTTGGATTTTCCGTCTTAAATCTTGCCCGTAAAGTCTTGTCTACGCGTTTTTAGGTGAACCGTTTGGTAGATCAATTTCAAAATTTCAGGGATGATTCTTAGTATGGAAATCTAGAACTGATTAGTTTTTGGGCATTCTGGGTAAATGTCAAGGCAGCCATTTTGGATTTTCTGTCCTAAAATCTCGTCTGTAAAGTCTTGTCTACACATTTCCAGGTGAACTGTTTGGTAGATCAATTTCAAATTTTCAGGGATGATTCTTAGTATGAAAATCTAGAACAGATTAGTTTTTGGCATTCTGGATAAATGTCAAGGCAGCCATTTTGGATTTTCTGTCCTCAAATCTTGTCTGTAAAGTCTTGTTTACATGTTTTCTGGTTAACTGTATGACGGATAAATTTCAAATTTTCAGGGGTGGTTCTTAGTACATGTTTTCTGGTTAACTGTGTGACGGATCAATTTCAAATTTTCAGGGGTGGTTCTTAGTATGAAAATCTAGAACTGACTAATTTTTTGGCATTCTTGGTAAATTTTAAGGTGGCCATTTTGGAATCTCCGTCCTCAAATTGTGTCGGTAAAGTCTTGTCTACTCATTTTTAGGATAACCATTTGACAGGATCACCCATAGGTGGGGACATATTGTACACATTTGTGTTCTTGTCAAATATTATATTAGTGGTTATGCATTTCACATTTTCACAAAAATTAAGTCTATTCACATATTAAAGGTAATGCATTTGACATTTTCTCAAACATTAAGTAAATTCACAGATAAAGGTAATGCGTTCCACATTTTCACAAAATTGAAGTTTATCCATTAATTAAAGGTAATACAGTCAGCAAAAGTTGTAACTGTTAATATTTGATGTCTCTTAATGATACTATTCTTTCCTCTATTTCAGGTGTCATTGAGAAGTTGAGGTTGGGTCGAGCCAACCTCGATGAGCTTTGGGCCTCTCGGAAATTCAGCCTTGATCTTTGCCTGCATCTACGACTCTTTGAGAAAGATGCTCTTGATGTGAGTTAATATTTTTGTTCATTCATAGATATCATACACTAAAATTCCCTTAAATGGCAATATTGCTATGGAACATGTTCCTATGGAATACCCCCTGGTGCAAGAGGTTCCAGTTTCAATTTCCCATTCCCATTTTTCTTTTCATTGATTTTATTAAATTTATATATTTTGGTCACCAGTTACTACAAAAACTATAAGTTACAAATTTAATTGCATTCATGAACGTGCAATTAGGATTGTTTTTGAACTGACACTTTTTTATTTTTATTTGTTATCATGTTGAATTCACTTATCCACTGTAGCTCAACTCTCATTTATATGCAATATTAAATTCATCAGTATAGAGCTATGTGATATGTTATACAGCTTGATTATGTATTCTCATCATTTCTACATTGAATGGGACCATTCACATATTAAAAATTACGTGTTTTCACATTTTTAGATCTCTGCCCAGTTGGAGGTATGGGCAGAGGAAGTTGGTAGTGTTGAGCTGACCACCAATGAATCCAATGCTGAACAGATCCTCCAAGTCCACAATGAGAGTTTCCATCACATGCAGAATTCAACATTTGAGGTTCTACATAGAGGTCATGAACTCATTGAGGTAAGGACTCAACTTACATAGTTTTACACAGTTTTGTTGAGGTTAAAACTATATAGAGGTATTCATGTGATCAAAAAAATATCTCTTACCAAAATAAGTCCAAATTTCATAAAAAGTTCCTATCCTGAACATAAGAACTCATTTAGACTTACATTTTCTCTTTTTCCCGGTTTGAAACTTTATTCACCACTGTGAAATCAATTTTGAAATTGGAAACAAAACTTCTTAAACTTATCTTAAATCCACTCTGAATCAGAATAATGAAGAATTTATTTTATTTTAGGAGTTTGAGAGGTCTGGAATTGAGATGATGGCTGACAGTCAGTATACAGCCCAAGCTAAAATACAGATGCTCGTGGACTACTTACATGACAGGGAATCTGAGATAGAGGAGTCAGCAGAACATAAAAGAACTAAACTTGAACAATGTCTAAAACTGTGCCAATTAAAACAAGATGCCAATCAGGTATAGTGTGTTTATAACATTAGATTAAAAAGCATGACATGCTTGGTTAATCAAAACATGGATTATCACTCGTTAATTAATTTTCTAAAATTTATGTAAAAATATTTTAAATTCATTCAAAATTCATGCTATGATGGTTAAGTTCAAAATATGTAAGCACAAGTGCCAGTGAGGAAAGAAAAAACACATCACGAGTGATACATTTAAAAGCAGAAGCAATTATAAGAAAACTGATACCCCAATCTATGATCTGATGCGCAAAATGTTGAAGCCTCATATGTATTTACTTGCAGGTATTGCAGTGGATCCAGAACAGTGAGCAATTATTACACGCCAGCTTCTTCTGTCCTGCATCCCTACATGAAGCTAGTCGACTTAAAACTGATCACGAACAATTCCAAGCTGCCATTGAGGTGAGTGACACACTGAAGTGAATGAACCCATGGAGTGCATTGAATTCAAGGTCTTAAAATCTAGGGTGTGGTGTCATCATTTGATCCAAATGTTCAGTGTCCTATAGACCTGACCCAGCTAAATATGCAACCAAATCCAAAGTGAGAAACCTTTGGAATACACAGCCAATCTGCAACAGTACTGTATGGCACCATTTTGTAAATGGTACTGTATTGTACTGTGAAATATGGTACTGCACGGTACTGTAGACTAAAACTGTACCATACAATTGTATCGTACACAGCCAATCTGCAACAGTACTGTATGGCACCATTTTGTAAATGGTACTGTATTGTACTGTGAAATATGGTACTGCACGGTACTGTAGACTAAAACTGTACCATACAATTGTATCGTACACAGCCAATCTGCAACAGTACTGTATGGTACCATTTTGGAAATGGCACTGTACAGTAATGTGAATTATAGCACCTTACAGTACTATAGACTACTAGGCACTATACTCCAACGCTACCATTCGGTACCCTACTCTTAATGGACTGTAAGGTACTGAGATTTTAGAGTGCTGATTGGGGATGTAATATGAGTATTATTACATTACATCAGTATTTGATTGAATTATAGATTATATATTGAAAGAAAATTCTTTAAGGCAAATTGGTTAAACCTCATCTTCTGTGGTTTTCAGAAATCACATGCCAGTGCTGTACAGGTGACGCAAAAAGCTGAGAAGTTGGTAAAAGGTAAACATTACAATTGTGAGCTGGTGCGTACAATAGCGGAGAATGTCAGTAATAAATGGCAAATTCTGATGTATCACGCCGAGGAGAGGCACAAACTTGCCATGGCATCAATGAACTGGTTCAAGACTGCAGAACAGGTATCTACAAAAGTAAAATAATGAAAAAAAAAATGTTTTGAATATAACAGATTCTGGTATAAATATACTGGCTAAATTTTCACATTGTTGGTAACAATATCAATCTTGAATCTACTTGGTTCAACAGAGGAAAGCCAAACTCAAATAAGTCTTGATTTAGACAGTGTCAATCATCTACATATGAAACTTACATAAATTAATGAATGATATTTTATTGATGAATGCATTTTGCTTTGTGATTTAGGTGCGTTCAACATAGGAAAGCCAAACTCAAATAAGTCTTGATTTAGACAAAGTGTCAATCATCTGCATATGAAACTTACATAAATTAATGAATGCATTGATGACTGTATTTTACTATGTGATTTAGGTGCGTTCAGTGCTAGAGTGCCTAGAGAAGGAGTACCAAAGGGATGAGGATTGGTGTGGCACTTACAGAGCTCAATCTGGTGACAAGGCACAGTTCCTAACCAGTTTGTTACAGAAACACCAAGAGCAGAAAGAGCAATTCTTAAAGGTATATTTATTCTTCATTGACAATATAGCAATTGTAAAGTAAACAAAAAATAATCCTTTTTCAGGAAACAGATTAAATAATACAACAAAACCACAAAACATCTAATATTTAGTTTGTTATTTCGGCGTATCATTCAATCTCAAAACCTTTTTCAGAATATTTTGATGGTCCCTTGTGTATGCACCAAAAGTTTGCAATTCAGAAATGTCAGATTACATGTGCAAATCTGATAAAACTCTCCAGACCTCAAAGAGTTAATGTATCTTCTTAAAGTTGTTGTTTCTCCTATAGGCATGTACCTTAGCAAGGAGAACTGCTGAGATGTTCATCAAGTATGTCCATAGGAATGTACACACTCTTGGCATGACACTGCGCTCATGTAACCCAGATCAGAGAGTCAAAGGTCAGTAGATTTCCCACTTGTAGCACTGAAGCATGAGTTTATAGGGTTTGAGAGGCATATTACATAATCTGAAGGTAGACCTGCATGATGTAATACTGAACATTTTCATTTTTTTATTTGAATATTAACATATTAGAGTAAAATCTCAAAAACATTTCGGTTCAGTGGAGTTGAAATGATATTTTCCCACATAATTTTTAACTTAGTGTGTTAGTCCAGAACTACCTTAAACAAGAGCATCATACCCTTGAAAAAGCAAACAACTTCTGTTGGGACTAAAGGATAATGGATATTTGTTTAAAAAATGTCTTGATTTGTCATAGTCACATCACATTTCATAAAGCAATACGTCATCTTCATCAGCATGGGTTGCTGTGTACTTGCTCTTGGAAAACAGTTGCAATAGCATTAAAATACATGTATTTGAATGAATTGGTATTACGTTTATAGATATGTCATATTCATTGCTTGTATTGTGCATGCTTCATATGCTTTGAGATTGAAAAGAGCAATATTCAGCATTAAGGTAGTCCAAGTAGAATCAGTGATGTTGGCTTACATGTTGACTTCATGAAAAATAGCTACAAATGTGATCACATTAGGCCTACCTTAGCTGAACTCTGTTCTTATATTTTAGATAAATATACAGAAAATGAGAGTATTGGATTGTGCAAGTGATAAAGGTCTCAAGGAATAATACTCCCTACAGAGTGATGAAGTCATATAATTTAGAATGTATTTGGACCAGATTAACACCTCTCTGTGTAGACACTTTATTCAGCAGTGAACACTTAGACTTAAAGTTTTACTTTATTCATCTAATTTTTACAGTGTTTCATCATGACTTTCCCTCCATCCACTGCCAATCCTAGCTATTTAGGATTTGTGGTTGATGGAGGGGATGGTCATTGTAGTACACCCTGTACCAAAGAGTTGATGCTTAAAGGAACATTCCTTGCCAGACTATTTCTCTCCTGATATGGTAGCTACAATCATATATATACTTTACATATTTAGCAAAACACGGGAAAATGTTTTCATATTGTCAATATTGATCATTTAAAAATGTAGTACTCATTCCCAGTAAGCTGCCATCTTTTCAGATTTCTTTCAGGAAGTGATGTCATCGACTCTCACCTTTTATAACCTTGTCTATTACAGTATAGGAAAGAAGTACAAAATCACATCTAAACAAGAAGCCCCTATCTTCTGTGTAAAAATATTTTCAGGAGTTTTCAACTTAGAACTAAAGAAGAGATCATCAACAAAAGGATTTTAATCATAGACCAAATTGAAAAAAATATTCAGCTGGTTTATAAATTCTAATAGCTCCTTACCTATGTTATATGAAAAGTTGAGAGTCGATGACATCACTTCCTGAGTGAAATTTTAAAAGATGGCAGCCTACTGGAATTGAGCACTACATTTTTTAGTGATCAATATTGACCATTTCAAAACATTTATCTGTTTTTTGATAAACTTGCAAAGTATGTATATGGTTATAGCTACCATATTAGGAGAGAGATGGTCTGGCAAGGAATACCCCTTTAATTAGGATGATAGAGGATTATTATTCATTTGGGACCTTTATTTCTGAAAGATGGAGAAAGATTTGTGGCTGAATCATGACATGCTTTTCACTTTATCACTTTTTGCTGCTGCTTGTTAGACTTCTCACCTGTGTGTAAGTAGACAATTTGGAGCTTTCTGGTCTTTGTGTTTAGTCATTGTCTTCTGCCCTCTTGCTATTTTCTTCAAATACAGGCTGATGGGGGGGTGTACTCACAGGGGCAGATATTAACATATTAAGACTTCTACATGTTTCTCTATAAAATAAGAGGAATGAAAATTATATTTTTATTTTATGTTCTTAGATGAGACATGTTCAATACTGGACTAGTTTTAACTTAACACTGGGCCTTTAAGTGGTACCAGTTCTTGAAAAGGATTGTAGGGAGGGGAGTTGGACTCACTCATCTATAGTAAAACGAACATTGGAGAAGTTCTGCAGCCCCTATATCACTAGCTTTCCCATATTAATATCTGAATAGTATATGTCTTTAGCAAGGGTTTATAGTCAGTAGTAAAGTAGTATAGTGTATATGCATGTTTGTATATAGGATAAGTGTAGCCAGTATAGACATATGCATGATTTTTGTAAATCTATACAAAATCACACCACATCACAAGGCATCATTAACTGTGTTCAAAGGCATCATGAAACTGTGTTCATTTCAAATCATCATGTGGCGTGTTTTACTTTATTGTGTTATTTACAATTTCACCACACAAACTCTCATTTAAATCTCACTTTATCAGGAGATACAACCTTATGGGGTAACTTTATGAAACTGTGTTCAAAGGTATCATGAAACTGTGTTCATGTCAAATCATCATGTGGCGTGTTTTACTTTATTGTGTTATTTTCAATTTCACCACACAAACTCTCATTTAAATCTCATTTTAAATCTCACTTTATCAGGAGATACAACCTTATGGGGTAACTTTATGTAACTATATGCCATTGCCTATTTTAATAATTTTCTAATCTCTTGTTGTATTAATTTTAAGATACACACTTCCCTTAAGGTTCAATTAGAGACTACCTTCATAGTTAAAGCTTTTAACACTATTTATTAACCTCTTGAATCACAGGCTCTAAAATCAGCTGAAACCAGAGAATTTTTGAAACATTTTGACATTCTACTACATACCTATACAATTTCTACACATTTTAAAACAATTTCTGTGTAAATTGGATGAAAATTCAATGGTGACAACGACGAGAAATCTCGTCACTCCAGGTCGTCAAGAGGTTAAATATACTGGTTCAATTCAATTCATATCACATGTGTATTTGAATCGAGGCATTTATTTGTTGTATATAATAAAATAGAATTGTCATTAAATATTTTTGATGTAATGTGACAATTGCATAACATGTCGTACATGTAGGTGGAGTTTCTTACATTTTACATGGCAAAACATTTTCTTTATAATCTTGAGTTTGGATAAAATTCTTACCTAGATATTTTCAGTTCTTTTTAATTAATATTCCAATTTTTTAGCAGTTGAATGTAATTTGACATCACTTGTGTGTAATTATATAAAATAAAACCAATGCATCAGTACTAATATATTCTTTGTATTTTTATTACAGCCACATTAGATCGTCTTCTACAGCATGAAAATGTTGTACTGGACCATTGGACAAAGCGCAAGCGAAGACTGGACCACTGCTACCAGTTCATGCTCTTTGAGAACAGTGCACAGCAGGTGAGATAAAGTGAAAAAGATAGCAATGAAGAGGCAAAAGAAGAGTTAGCATCAAGTACTGATGATAAATGATAAATTCCACCTTTTTTAATTCACAACAAAACATTCAAACAGCATTTACTGTACATTTTACATTTAATATTATAGCTCAGCTAAAATTTCCTATACATTTTACATGAGGTTTTATATTATGCTTGTCATTACAGGCGTTGTCATGGTTACACAATACAGGTGAGCGTTACCTGTCTTCACATACAGACATTGGTGAGAGTAAGGAGGAAGCAGAATCTCTACTTGCAGAACATAATGAATTCAAGGGCAAAGCAAAGGTAACTAATAAGACTATAACATAAGATGGAATGTTAGAAAAGGATAGAGCTTGTAACATAAGGAAAGCAATATTCAGAAATATATCACTAACCATCTCAAATTAAATATCTGAAAAAGATTAGACATGCACAAAATCAAAAAATCGACATAATTGTGAGACATATTAATCTATATTTATTTATTTTTAATCCATATACATTAATATTCAGACACTAAGAACATTGGAATAGTTCAATATATATGTCCTAAAATTCCCACTATTTTTTGCAGGACACTCGGGATAAAGTGAAGTTACTCCTAGAAGTTGCGGACAACATAGTTGACAATGGAAATGCGCATGCCAAACAAATCAAACAGCTTATTGACCTCGTGGACAAGCATTATAAAGAGTTTTCTTGCAATATGGAAAAATATCGAGTCAAGCTAGAGGAGATCCTTGGTGTGAAACAAGAGGTTTGTATATTTCAATGTATGACTGAGTAGCATCTATTGCAATAAAATATATCGAGTACTCTAGTGTATGAACATTATTATAAAGAAATGTGTGGTTTGTTATATTTTGCGTGATTTTTTCCATTTTAATTAAATTGTCTGATATTTTATTTCAGTTGAATTGATCCTCGTTTGTAATTGTTGGATATATCTTTAAATCATTTGGTATTTCAATCGAGTTGCATGATATTTCTAGACTGAGGGCAACAACAGAGAAAGTGACTCAAGCTTAGAAGAGAAACTTCAACTCCAGCGAGAACTCAGCACTGAGAGGAGGAAGTCAACACGCAGGAAAGAGTAAGTACTGCACCATCACTTAAAGTTCATCTTCATCATTGTTTGATTATAAGCTGATCATTTAATTTAAATGAAATACAGAGAATAGTTTGCCCTCAAAAAGATTTCTTATTCATTTATATTTTACATTCTAACTGAATTTTTAATGTCAGTTTCTGCTTTTGTCCAAACTTTTGGACTTTATGATTATTAATTATCTTCCTACATGTAACATGTCTAGCAATTTGTTAATACAATTTCTTTGTGCTACAGGTTTATAATGGATGAACTTCTACAGACTGAGAGGGCTTATGTAGCAGACTTGGAGACATGTTTACGGGTCAGTGCAGAGAGCTAAATATGAGTCATCCTATTTGTTTAACTATGTGGGGATAACAATGTATACATCGATTTGAGTAAATTGTTACAAAGAATATGTATCACTGGTTTAAATGAGTTAAAATTAGCTAATCTTAAAATGACTGGAGTGATTTAATATATGTACTGAACAACACAAACAACCTTGTCCCTGGCTGACATTATTTATGTGTATTATGTAAATAAATTATGTAATCTTTTCTGTTTTAGTGCTATCTGAAAGATATGCGTGACCCAAATGTAGTTCCTAATGAGCTGGTAGGAAAAGATCAGACATTGTTTGGAAATATGGAAGCTATTTACAACTTCCATAATCAGTAAGTGACAAACACATTTATTTTAAGTTTAGTAATGATGATTTCATTAAGAAAATAATTGCTTCAGTGCATGAATAGTATACAAATTCTGTTAAACTGCATATTTTTGGTCATTCAAATCTCATGTTCTGTTAAAAGACTGAAGATAATTTGGATCATAAAATTGATCAGTGTCCTACAAATAACAAAAGTTATTAGCTTTTTACTAATCATTTCTTCTTGATTTTTTAGAACATTCTTGAAAGAGCTTGAAAAGTACCAGTCCATGCCAGAAGATGTTGGCCATTGCTTTGTCACATGGGTAGGTCATTTTTATTCTCTTTTTTGGCTCACGTGGCAAGACCATGGAATTGCTCACTCATCTGTCTGTATATGTATAATTCAGATTTTTGGAAAAATGAAAATCTATTGTCTGAACTAATATCATATTGTCTAATGTATTGTCTGAACTCATATCATATTGTCTAATCTATTGTCTGAACTAATATCATATTGTCTAATCTATTATCTGAACTAATATCATATTGTCTAATGTATTGTCTGAACTAATATCATATTGTCTAATCTATTGTCTGAACAAATATCATATTGTCTAATCTATTGTCTGAACTAATGTTCATGTTATTTTTATGCAAGTTCATACTGGTGATTTACACCATTGGTTCTGGCTCCTACAAATAAATTGCTAGAAAAAATTGTTACCAAAAGTTACCTGAACATACTCCATTATGTGGGGATAAATATTCATTGCTCTTCATGTTTTGTTTACAGGTTGAACAGTTCAATGTCTATGTGACCTACTGCAAGAACAAGCCAGATTCTAACCAAGTATTAGTGCAATATAGTGGAACATTCTTTGATGTAAGTGCATCTAAAAAGGATAAATGTGAATGTGGTACACTCTATGTGTGTTTTGATTTATTTTGTTGATTTAAGGAAAACCAATTTCACAAAGATTTCGTAAATCATGGTGTTCTTGCTTATTATTTTTCACTCAATATTGTTTCCCTTTTGAAGTTTTTCTCTCGAACTTCGAGTATACATGGATTTCTATGTCACCGCTTAAAAGCTTTGAATACATTTCTCTCTTCTTTAGTATTTTCCTATTTCAAATCAATACCATTGTGAGATTTCTCTGCATTTCAGGACACTCAAAAGAAGTATGATCTTAACAACCCTGTAGCGTCATACCTCATCAAGCCAGTGCAAAGGATCACAAAGTACCAGCTACTTCTAAAAGATATGCTGCAATGCTGTGATGCAGACAAGGGAGAAATAAAAGTAAAATTTTTTATTCTGATTCTAACAGTTTGCCGTCAGGGAGCCTAATTAGTACAATTAAATGATAATTTAATTAGCCTAATTAAAGGGATATGTTTCATAACTTACTTAGAAACACCCCTTAATAAGCTTAATTGGGCTAATTATCTATTGATTCTTATTAAATTAAGGTGATCTTTGTCCAGGGGATGGATCATTCTTACCTCATTTATTCTATACTTTCATATGTGCTACTCCCCTCAACAAACTGTTTATAATTTCATAAATCCAATTATTGCATAATTATTATATATTATTTAACGATTAGCAGTCTGGACCATTTCACTGGATTTTAAGCAGTGTTCTGCTTTTTTTACTAACATGTGTTTTGGATCAGTTTATTATTGACTTGGCTTGTGTGTATACAGTGGCAGCATATGTGTACATATATTTCTTTCATTCCAGGATGGTTTAGATGTTATGTTGGATGTTCCAAAGAAAGCCAACGATGCATTACATCTCAGCATGCTCGACAATATTGAGGTATGATATTTCAACATTAATACATTTTATTGTGAAAATTAAAAATACAAAATGTCAATGTTGAATACAACTTTGACACTCTTAGTGAATTTTTTGATAAAGCCTTATTGTTTCTCAAAACATAATATGTCTATTGATTTTGATTGAGAAGACTATTATAGCTTTTAAAGCCCATGAAGAGACTGAGGTCAAAAGAATAAAGAATTTGCTCTGGTGTTACTCAAATAAATTCCTCATTAAGTTGTCTTGAAAATAAATGTATATGTTTTTCTGGTTAAATTCCTAGTAACTTAATGTTTATTTACAGGATGATCTTGAAGTGTTGGGGGATGTCCTGCTGCAGGATAAATTCACATCCTGGGACCCTAAACATATCATCAAGAAGGGACGCGATCGCCATCTATTCATGTTTGAGATGTGCTTACTCTTCTGTAAGGAAATAAAGGATAGTAACGGCAAAACCAGATATCAACACAAATTCAAATTACATGTAAGTAAAAAATGAATGATTGGACCAAAATAATTTTTCTCAGAGATAGAAATTGAGTTTTATGTCACCACCACAATCTACAGTCTCCAACTTTTTTTGTGGCAGTGGTTGGTGTTCAGAGTTCGGCATTTGGCATCTGTAACAAATGGCATGTGGTGGCATTTTGCATTTTGGTGTTTAAGGTTATCTCGGGAATCTTCTTAACAGGTAACACAAGTTGAAGACAATTTCAAGACATAAAGAAAAACTCTGGTCTTTATTGTATTATAATTGAAATCATGATTTTGATTCCAGTTGTCTGAGATAGGTGTGACAGAACACATAGAAGGAGATGAGTGCAAGTTTGCATTGTGGACTGGCAGGGCTCCATTCTATGACTATAAGATAATCCTTAAGGTAAGGACTGTACTTGCATTATATGTCATTCTCCCATCCCGGGTCTCCCATCCCACTGCTTCTATAGCAAAAGCAGCTCATATGATGGTAAATTCTGTGGTAATGTGTGACTCATTTCTCATCAATATTACTTTAAAATCTAAGTTTAAAATTTTGTGCCATATGTTTTAGTTAAAGCAAGCAAAATTTTATGAGCTAAATCCTCTTGTGTATACATTCCAAAAACGTCTGTGGTGTACTATGTGAAATGTTGTCTGTTATGAAACAAGTTTAATAAGAAGAAATAGAAATGTTATTCTCTACAGGATGTTATCTTAAGGGGGTCAAGTTGGCAAAAATACATATGGTTTCAACATGTTTTACAACTTTATTCTTTGTAGATATAAAATTTAAATTCTTGTGAAAAAAAAATTAAATATAAAAATGTGAAAGTTAAGTTGATAAGTTCATTTTAGATATATCGAACCAAGTATGAACTATTTGATTTAATTGTTGTTTCATATTTCATTGTAGGCATCGTCATTGGAGACAAAGCAGAATTGGGTTCGCAAATTACGTGAACTTATTCAGCAGAGAATGATGTTCTTTGAGCCTCTTATTAAACCTGAGAGTTACAAACTAAACAAGCACAGCAGATATAGCAGGTAGGTGACCCTAATGATATCTTGAGATTGTGTCATGTTTAAAGGGGTTTATTGATTTCTTGATGTGGATTAGTCTTATTGTAATATTGATAAGCAAATAGGCAGAGAAAAAAGGTGGGAAATTATGGGTACTAGATTAGATTAGACTAGTGTGGTTAGATGCCTTAAAAAAAGAATATGATAGAAAATTGTGTGATTTCTATGATATTATGAACACTGTATAATGTAACTGCTTTCTGTTTTCTATGAATAAAAAAGTAATAAAAAAAGAAGTTTGGGTTGCTTTGTGTCTTCTAAACCTGATCTGGTCTCTCAGTCATTGAGACTGCCATTTTTCAAGCAATTAGAATGTGCCATATTTATATTGTTTGTTTTTGTGCCTATGGGATTAAAACGCCATCTCTCTGTATGTGTGTCTGATCTTTAACATAATAATGTACAGGGTGGTCCAAAAAAAGTGAACCCCTGCAACTGGCCATATTTCCCTTATTACTTGCAGGAATTCTTTTTTATTTTCACATGTTGTAAAGGAAGGTCTAAAATTTATGGTGGTACCATACATTTTTCTTAGTCTTGAAATTTGCACAAATCATAAGCCCTAACCAAACATTACTGAAAATGGACAAATTGTGATTTTCAATATCCGCAATTCTTCAACCCTTTAACACCTTTCCCCTGAGAATTTTTTAAGCTGCAGTCTTAAAGAACTAATATTTTCTGACTTTGTTCAATTTTAAATCCTGCACATTATGGCTTAAAACTAGCATTCTACATTTGTTAGTTGCAAAGTTATTGTGATCCAAAGAGATGTGCTAAGCTTCCACAGACGAAAACATTTTCCAGTGAAATCATGAACATACCCCTATATGATCTTGAAATGTCAATATCTTCATAAATCATGGACCAATTCTAATGATATATGGCTCAAAACATTGAATATTGAATTTTCTTTTGATTTTTTAAAGATATTTGATGAAGGGGTTATCAGATTCCTGGTCACAGGGGGCAACTTTCTTCCATAAGAGGCCCCCTCTAACTGTTGGTGTAGGTAACATACCCCTGAACTGATGAACAGTTAAAAATGCTTCAAAATGATCAATGAAAGTGTGAAATGTGTTTTCTGCTTAAATAGTGTCTCTTTTGTCGTATGGTAGGGTTTTAAACTTGTATCTCTAACTGAAAGCTGTTTAAGATCATTCAATGTGTTTCAGCAATTTCCATGAATCACAATTGTAAAATTTTGTGCAATATCTAATTTCCAGGCATGTTTGTTAAACGCTTGTAATTTCTTCAAAATTTAAGACTGAGAATAAATTATGGCATCAACCAAAATTTTAGACCTTTCTCTACAACATGTGATAATATGAGCCAATTCATGCATGTATTAAGAAAAATGTAGCCTGTTGCAGGGGTTCACTTTTTTTTGGACCACCCTGTATATAACATAAGCACATCATTTGTTTGTATGAACAGGGAGCTGGATGACAGTGTCTCAACAGAGGAGCTCAACTATGATGGGATGACAAAACTCAGCGGCTCCAATCTATCAGTAACCACAACAACATCGACTGCTTCTGATAGCAGTACTGGCAGCGCCTCATCCAAGGTACACATGCACTTATGTCCTGTCTCATATGTTTTAAACTAAATTCAACAAAGAATCAGTGTCAGGTGGGAGGGATAGGAGGTAGATAATAATTTGGCTTTTTAGGCACCTATTACACTTCTAAAGGTCCATTTCGTAAATAATGGTGGATGGGCGTTCCAGCAGTTAAGGAAATGTTTTATGCTGTCTGGAGCTAGTTTGACTGGCTTATACCTATTACAAAAAATACCATTATAATATATGGTTACATTGTTTTGACTTAATCAGGTTTATAATGCAGCAATGTTTTTTTTAGCAAATGACAACTGAAATTCTCCTAGTACTGGAGGACTTCAAAGCGACAAATGATCAGGAGATGAGTGTCTATGCTGGCCAAAAGGTGGAACTAGTGGACACAAGTCCCGGGGCAAATATGGACTGGTGTTTGGTTCGCTCTATGGGAACGTTACCATTAATGGAAGGTCTTGTGCCAATGGCGAATCTGCAACCTGAATCTGTCATCCAGCACACTACAGGTGAAAATATCATTAATGTTGCTCTTGCCTTCTATTGTTATTGTCTATAACAATGGGTTATATATGTAACCCTAAACCATTTGTGACGATGGGCTCCATATGGAATTCTCCACTTTCTGGAATAGATTTCATCCATTGAAAACAGACTTTTAGAACTACCACTTCATTTTTATCCCATCGAACAAAGTTCGGAGGGATATAGGGAATGCCTCCGTCCGTCCGTCCGTCCATCCATCCGTCCGTCCGTCCACTTACCAAATATGACTTTAATATTAAAGTGGGAGTATCGATTGCCGAGTCGTATCCAATGATCCTGGGCCTATCGTAAAATGAAAGCTTTGAATATGTTGTTGCCTTTAAAAATGTATCTATTTTCATTGTATGCTACTAGAATTTGTGCACATACCTTATAACGATCGATAATGCCAAAGGAAAATCCTCTAATTCTTCGTCATAATTTCTCCTTCGACGTCCGCCATTTTTTATTAAACCGGAAGTTTTTCTCTGACGTCCGCGCAATGTTTTTTCACTTTTATTTCAGATTACGCTTCGGATTCAACATTTAATGCTTTCTAATATTAATTAAGTGTTTTCTATCAGAAAGATTTCATAAAAAGACTCACACTATCAGAGATTTTATCGATTCGAGCAGCCAGAAAAATTAGTTTCAATTTCACCCGCTAGGTGTTTCGACGTCGACTTGGAAAGAATTTGAAAAATCTATGAGTGGGACTCCTTGTATGGAATTGTAGATTCTAAACGATTTGCCAGTTCTACTGGTTGATGAATATTGCCATATGCATACATTTTTATAAAATAGGAATAAGGAAGAAGATGTTGGACCAAACTTCACCCCGATAGCTCAGAAAAGGTAAAATTTCTCCATTTTTCTCTCCACAGACCTTAGAGCCGCTTTAATATGGGTTAAAACCTATAATAAATTAAATACTGGATATGACAAATAAATAAAATCAATTATAATCTACCTACATGAGGTAGATATCCAAATGTTGGTCTGAATTTATCTTTGTGGAAAGATTGTATGCTTCAGTTGCTCTTTAACAAAACATATGGGACAGTGTATCTATATACTGTATAAGTGGTAATTTTGCCTAATCATTTAATTTTTCTATTTCCTAATTTTTGCTAGGTTCAGAAAATTAAATGTCGGAAATATTGTCTTTATAATGTTATCCAATGGGAGGTTTCTTGTCATTAGGAAAATTAAAATCTGGAAAATGATGAAATTTGACCATTCGGAAAATTAACCACTCGGATTAAATACCACTTATACAGTATTACAAGACGTCCGTCTGTCCGTCCGTACGTATGTCCAGGCAATAACTCAAATACCGTTGGCCCGATTTTGTTCATATTTTGTACACATATACCCTATGGGGGTAGAAGTTCTGCTCGAAAGCCGATTTAAAAATGGCGGCCATTTTCGTGCCGATTCTACAGTAATTTAGGTGCAATATGTAAAACTGTACTAACAATATGTTTTAAATGTAGAAACATTATATAGGACATTAATAAAGCTAGAAATGTAGATATTAAAGAAGCACATGGCAGCCATCTTGAAAAATGGCGGCCTTTACTCGTTATTTTACGATTTTTGCTGTAACTCGAAAAGTAGTGGAGCGATTTTGTTCATATTTGGTATGTGAATACTATAAGCATGGCACACTTTCTAATGACACTTGAAGTAGAAGGTGGCCATTTTGAAAGCCATTTTTGCTATATACTTTGTTTGTAAAAATGCCGGCCATGGCTGGTCGATGGGATTTGCTACGCTTTGGCGTTGCTGTTGTCTAGTTTTATATTTACTAAACTTGCCTGCTTGCTATATAGCAAATCATAAATTACAAAATCAAGAAATATATAAATAATCATTTTCTTGTTCACATGTTATATACAATCGAAATTCTAAAAAGTAATTTTTAATTGATTTTAGACCTTTTTGAATAAACAATCACTGAGGAAAAGTTCAAAATTCCAAACACAAGTTTCAAAATCCATTTGGATTCTGTTCTGTCCAGTCCCAGCCCTACCCCAAACCATTTGTGATAATTGGCTCCATTTGGAACCCATACTTCAAAAAATGCTTTAATTGAAATATGGCTCTGAGTTCCATCTTTATATATATTCCTGGGACCTTGAATGGTTCTATTTTACGCTAACCCTGTGCATGTTCATTGACTAATTAACTAGATGCAAATGATATAAGCATCAGGATGTTGTCTCAGTAAGATAACATGGGTGTGAATAGAATAAGTTTCCGTGAACTAACAAAAATAGATTTGGTAAGTGTTTTTTTCTTTAGGATCATATGTAAATGGCTCAGTATTTGTTAAGGTTGTCATGCATTGAATGGTGTATGCATGCATATTGCACGGTGTTATAGCATGACGGTTACTTCAAGGAGATTTGCAAAATTTTGCGGTACCGATAACAAAAAAATGGAAGATGGGAAAGACACCATGTCCTCTTTCTCGCCAGTGGGCAAGATTCAAAGATAAGATTTCCTTTTAAACTAGTTCCATTCGGTGACGTATATATGGATGGTTATAAAGATTGGGTCAAATATGCCAGGTGGTTTACTAGAAACAGAATATAAGCTGTAAACTTACCGACTAAGATATCAAAGTTCATAATTTTTAGTCCATGTTTTCTCAGTATATGTGTCTCAGAGCCACTCAAACTATTAACTGTAAGTAAACTATGTATGAACAAGCCAGAAAATGACAAATCCAGAACAGGAACGTGGTGTACATTGTAAATAATAAGGTTTCAAATGCAATGTCGTTAGACGACTACGTATGAATTCTATGAACGGTAACGTATTGTATTAGTTGTACATTAGATATTTAGCGGACGGTTACGTGCATGTACACCTTTCAAGTCAAGGTTGCTAGTTATGATAGCCTCTTTCCATGTCATTGTTATAATGGGTAAGAAATGGAATATACATTATTATGGCTTGAGTAGAACATATAAGGTGGTTTCCAATGCTCAATTGGCTTTTTATGATCGTATGTAGGTTACATCTTATACCCCGAGGTCGTAAGGCAATGTAGACCATGCCCTAACGACAAATATAAACAAATTACTAAATTTTGTGTAGTTTTGAATTTCAAACTCAACAGTTTTTCGCTTATTTCATGTTATCCCTGGGCATCAATTTGCAAAAACTACGTTCAAAATATTCATTACTTAATGCATCACCAAATGCGATGCTTACATAAATCGTTTACCCTTTCATTGGTACACAGTAGTAGAAAATAATGCACCAACCTTTTCTGTTCCATCGCGGCCATTTTATTGGATAAATCAGTGAACGTAGCTGTCCAACCTTGTTTTCAGAGGTGTTGTAACCGTCATGCTATAGCAGGGTGTATTGTGTCAATTTAATCAAAACCATATATACAGGGTGGTCAAAAAAATGGCAACTCTGGTTTTTCTAATGTCTTTGTCATTCTAAGAAATAACTCCCTGATATTTTACACATTTGTACATCATTCAATTTCCTACCAACCTACCATATTTCATGACCATCGTACTGATAGTCACAATATTACTGCATTTTAAACAACATGCCCTAGATGGCCACTTTCGTGCTGTCTGAGATGGTCGGTGATTCAAATAAACACTTGATGCACTGGTAAACTCTAACAATTATGTATTCTTGGGGAGCCAAGCACTTGATGAAGTAGTGGAGAGGCACCTTCACACAGACAGATGCACAGTTTAGTGTGTTCTCAGAATATAGGGTCGTTTACCTTTGATGGTATCAATGGATATACAATAACTGTCAACATCAACTCTATTTTGTGATCCCCATGGAGTTCTTGGGGACTTCAGGTGAATCCAGGGAGGTTGATAGGCAGCAACAGTGGTTCCAACAAGACAGAACCATACCCCATACACCCAATGATGGACAATAATGGCTTTGGGACCACTTCAATGACCACATTATCAGCAGTACAACAGACAATGAATGGGCAACCCAGATATGGCCCCTTTACCAATGGGGATACCCCAAAGATAGAGTGTAGGGTAATAACACCATTAAGACATTTGACCTCAAAATAAAGATCACATGTGTCGTTCAGGCCATACTTGCTGAGGAATGCAGTTATGTCATTTACAGGTTTGGAAAATGTGTGCAGGTTTGCCTACAGCATGATATTGGAAATCTGGGGCACCTTGTTTAAAGTGCTGTAACATTGCGACTATCAGTCCAATTTTCATGAAATAACACAGTCTAGTATGAAATTGAATGATGTACATGTGTGCCAAATATCAGGGCAAAATTTCTAAAAATGACAAAGATATGAGGAAAAAATAGAGGGTTGCCATTTTTTGGACCACCCTGTATGAAGAAGGATAAATATTATTATTTATTTAGATTTATAGTATTCAGGAGACAAGGATTAAATTACTTCTATTTCCATCGATACATTTTAGAATTATTGTCTCAGTGGAATCATTAACATTTTAGATTTTATATGATGCTGGATATAACCTTTAGATATTCTCTTATGAAGGATGTCCCTTTGGTATTTGTATTAGTTAGAAAACGTTGATCTTTATGTATTTCTCACCATGGCAATATCAGGTGTCAAAGTTGCTGGAATTCTGTTTCATTCAATCTTAAAACAAATACACAAGAAGAAACGTTTAAATTGGTATACTTGTATTAAGTCTGTGACATAATTATGATATCTAGGTCTCATCTGTTTAAAGAGATTGGGTCTCCTAAAACACAATTAGAGTAAACCCCTGATTTTTTCGTGTTATTTGATGTAAAACAAGTTTGTTTATCAACTTATCAAATCTGAGGCTTGAATTAATTCGTTAACAGTATCAATTCGATAATTGTTCCTAGCCATGAATTTCCACTTACATCAATAGAAATTAAAATTGAAGTTTAAAAAACCCTCTCAAATTCTAAGGGGTTCAATTCTGACGATTGGTTGTTCTTTTGGTTGTCCTGTTGA